AATTACAGAAGAATTGAACAAATGCTTTAAAACTGATTTTTCCGTTGCCCAAGTTGAAGGAAGGTGGAAAACACAACTCAGTGCCTTCAAGCGCCATCAAGCTGATCAGGCTAAGTCAGGGAATGAAAGAAAAGATTTTCCTTACGAAGAAGAATTTCAGGATATCTTTAGTGACAGACATGACATCAATCCCAAGTTTGTGGTTACATCTTTATCCTCGAGCTTGGATAGTGGAAGTTTTACTCAAGATGAGCCCTGCACAAGCTCAGGCTCTGGTGAGCCAGGTATCACTGATCCCAAGCCCAAAAAGAAAAGAAAAATTTCTTCTTCCAGATCTAATTCTTCTCAAGTAATCCATTTTTGGAAGATTATGTTGAAAATCAAAATAAAAAAAATGAAGAAAACATGAAAAAAAATTGAGAAAATGCATAAAGAAAAAATGGAAATATTTAGTGGTTTCCTCTCAGTTCTAAAGAGCATGAAAGATTAAATGTCTTCAAATCTCTGTTATGCATTGACATGTAGGCCCATGAATTCTGATGTAATGATTTGACTTATTTATGCTTTATATGGTCCTTTTCCCTCATACTGTTTTCAAATGGTATTTTATATTAAGTTTCTAAACTTGCTGTATTTTTAAGTGATATTTACCAGTAATTGACTATCCATTCTTGAAAATTTTCTGTAATAGAACTACTGCTGTGTTGGGTGGAACTATTTTATGTGTTTACTATTTTTTTTTTTTTTACAGGATATGCATATTTATGCGACTTGCCTCCAGAAATAATATGCAAAATATTGACATACATTCCAATTCCAGAATTGTACCATTCTGTATCTAAAGTTTGCAGATCCATGAATTGTCTTTTTAAGAGTGGCCTTGTATGGAATTCAATAACTTACCTGAATTTTTTTCAATGAAGGAATGAAAGAGATATTCACTGTAGAATTTTTGAAACTTTTTGAAAATTGTGTTAATCTTACCATTGATGCAACACTTCTGCAAGATTGTGATGTTTTGGGTAGTTTCAAAAATTTGAAATATTTGGATGTCAGGGGTTCCAAAAATGAAAATCTTTGCAATGAAAACATTGTTAAAAATTTATCGAAATGCAAGTGTATGAAGAAACTCTTCATTAGTAGTTTACCAAACTTGAGTGAGGATGGTCTGTTGTCATTATCTAAGGAGATTGGAAAGACACTGAAGTATCTACAAATTCGTAACTCTGTAGAGATCAGGCCAGAAACTTTTTTTAGTTTTGCTGAAAAATCTTAAGTGTATTAAGGCTATTAGTGTGACTCCTTCTGGAGATTATGAAAAGTGGGCAAATGAACATGCTTTAAGGTGCAGTTTTGGACATGAAATACTTGATTTTGTTCCCAAGCGATATCTTGTACATGACAGAGTGTTTTACTCTTTGTTGCCCTAAATGATTGAAAATTGTTCAGCCCATCGATTTATTTTGAGATACTGATGACTCCTCATTGGTAGTAATTTTTCTTCTGAGCAAGTACTCAATGATGGCCTTGACATGTCATTATTTGTGCTTAGAATAAGGTGTGATTTTACATGCCCTTTATTAGATTTTTCAGTGGCTGTAAGTCGCTTCAAGTGATGTTCTTTATTTTTTAAAATGCTAATTAAGCCAATGTTTGATTTTTTTCCCCATTATATTGATCTCACTGTTCTTGTTTTATATATATATATTTTTAGCTCACCTGAGCCGAAGGCTCAAGTGAGCTTTTCTGATCACATTTTGTCCGTCGTCTGTCTGTCCGTCTGTCTGTCCATCCGTCTGTTAACTTTTCACATTTTTGACTTCTTCTCCAGAACCACTGGGCCAATTTCAACCAAACTTGCCACAAAGCATCCTTGGGTAAAGGGAATTCAAGTTTGTTCAAATGAAGGGACACACTCTCTTTCTAGGGGAGATAATTAGGAATTAGTGAAAATTTAGTGGTATCTTTTAAAAATCTTCTTCTCAAGAACCACTGGGCTGTAAAAGTTGAAACTTATGTGAGACCTTCATTACATAGTGTAGATTCAAGTTTGTTCAAAACATGACCCCTTGGGGTAGGGTGGGGCCACAATGGGGGATCAAAGTTTTACATAGGAATATAAAGGAATAAATCTTTAAAAATCTTCTCTTCAAGAACAACTAAACCACGATTAGTCATATTGATACTGAATCATCCTCAGGTAGTGTAGATTCAAGTTTGTTTAAATCATGACCCCTGGGGGTAGGGTGGGGCCACAATGGGGGATCAAAGTTTTACATAGGAATATATAGAAAAAAAATCTTTAAAAATCTTCTTCTCAAAAACAACAAAGCCACAGTTAGTCATATTGATACGGAATCATCCTCAGGTAGTGCAGATTCAAGTTTGTTCAAATAATGACCCCCGGGGGTAGGGTGGGGCCACAATGGGCGATCAAAGTTTTACATAGAAATATGTAGGAAAAATCTTGAAATTGTTATTCTCAAAAACAACAAATCCACAATTAGTCATATTAATATGGAATCATCTCAGGTAATGTAGATTCAAATTTGTACAAATCATGACCCCTGGGGGGTAGGGTGGGACCACAATGGGGGATCAAAATTTTACATAGGAAAATATAGAAAAAATTCTTTAAAAATCTTCTTCTCAAGAACAACAAAGCCACAATTAGTCATATCGATATGGAATCATCGTCAGGTAGTGTAGATTAAAGTTTGTACAAATCATGACCCAGGGGTAGGGTGGGGCCACAATGGGGGATCAAAGTTTTACATAGAAATATATAGAAAAAAATCTTGAAAAATCTTCTTCTCAAGAACAACAAAGTCACAATTAGTCATATTGATTTGCATTCATCCTCAGGTAGTGCAGATTCAAGTTGGTATCAAATCATGACCCCTTGGGGTAGGGTGGGGCCACAATGGGCGATCAAAGTTTTACATAGGAATATTCAGAAAAAAAAAACTTGAAAAATCATCCTTCTCAAGAACAGCAAAGCCTTGTTAAGTCATATTGATATGGAAGCATTCTCAGATAGTGTAGATTTAAGTTTGTTCGAATCATGACCCCCAGGGTTGGGGTGGGGCCACAATGGGGGGTCAAAGTTTTACATAGGAATATATAGGGAAAAAAATTTTAAAAATCTTCTTCTCAAGAACAGCAAAGTCATGTTTTGTCATATTGATATGGAAGCATCTTCAGGTAGTGTAGATTCAAGTTTATTCAAATCATGACCCCTGGGGGTAGGGTTAGACCACAATGGGGGATCATAGTTTTACATAGGAGTTATATAGGGATAAAAATTTAAAAAATCTTATTCTCAGGAACAGCAAAGCCATGTTTTGTCATATTGATATGGAAGCATCCTCAGGTAGTGTAGATTCAAGTTTGTTTAAATCATGACCCCTGGGAGTAGGGTGGGGCCACAATGGGGGATCATAGTTTTACATAGGAATATATAGGGAAAAAACTTGAAAAATCTTCTTCTCAAGAACAGCAAAGTCATGTTTTGTCATATTGATATGGAAGCATCCTCAGGTAGTGTAGATTCAAGTTTATTCAAATCATGACCCATGGGGGTAGGGTGGGACCACAATGGGGGATCATAGTTTTACATAGGAATTATATAGGGATAAAAACTTAAAAAATCTTCTTCTCAGGAACAGCAAAGCCATGTTTTGTCATACTGATATGGAAGCATCTTCAGGTAGTGTAGATTCAAGTTTGTTCAAATCATGACCCCTGGGAGTAGGGTGGGGCCACAATGTGGGTTCAAATTTTTACATAGGAATATATTGGAAAAAATCTTTTCAACAACAGAAAAGCCATGTTGTGTCATATTGATATGGAAGCATCCTCAGGTAGTGTATATTCAAGTTTGTTCAAATGAGGGGGGGGGGGGTAGGAAGGGTCCACAATGGGGGATCAAATTTTTAACAGGGGAATATATAGGGAAAAAATCTTTAAAAATCTTCTGCTCAAGAACAGCAAAGCCATTTGTTATATTGATAAGGAAGCATCGTCAAGTAGTTCAAAATCCAAGCCCCCCCCCCCACCCCCCTTTAAACTTTTCAATACTGAAGTGATTTGTGCTTTTTCCTAGCCAATGTGCTCAGGTGAGCGATGTGGCCCATGGGCCTCTTGTTATGTTTATAAGCATCAAGAAGATGATTGATTTCATTTATTATATATTTTTTCATATAATAAAACAGTTTTTTTTACATGAATTAGATATGCATTGTTTTATTTTAAAAGAAGATGACAGCTTCTGTTTCTATACCAAATTTTCATTGTCAAACTGAATTCTTTAACTTGGTACATTTTTAACATTTAAGAAAATGCAGATTTTAAGTATTAGCCAATTGCCGTGTTAGTAATTGTCTCTTTAATTGACCCTCTGCATCATTTTCACACAACGGATAAACTAATGGAACCTGCTGAGGGTCATTGTCAAAATGCTCATCAAGTTCATCTTGGTTCAGGATACAAATGTTATGTAGGATGCAAGCTGTTATGACAGCCTTGACAACATAAGAAATGTCATTCATTTCTACAAATTGGAGTCGCCGAGATCTGCCTTTCAATATGCCGAATGAATATTCAATGATTACTCTGGTACTTGATAAGATTTGATTGAACTTAATCTGATCCCTTGTAAGATTTCCTCTATTTCTGTATGGAGTATTCAGCCACCGCTTGCACGGATATGTCCCATCACCTAACAAATGGCACTGACCACAAAGAATTGGGCCCCTTTGCCTCAATGGAGAATTTTGAAAAACGCGAGCATCGTGCACTCGCCCAGGCCATCCACAGTAAAGGTCTGTGAATCGTTTATCTCCTCTGCACACTGCTTGAAGAATGACCGAAGAATGTTTTTCCTATTGAAATAATCATTTGAGTGTCCACTAGGTGTTTTATACGTATATGTGTAGAGTCGATTGCTTCAATCACACCAGGGAAGTTCTTTTTTTTTTTTTTTTTTTTTTTTTTTAGCTCAAATTCATTATTTACAGTCTACACATCATTTGGCCAAATCACAAATTTTTGAAGAAAGTATTTTTGGAAAATATCTAACATCCTTCTGTTGTGGGAATGGAATGTTGACTCAGACACATTGAATCGATCTGCAATAGATCGTATAGTTTCTTGTGATCCTATATACCACAGCATCATCAGTAAACCTTTTTCATGTGAAATCTGAGGTCGTCCAGCAGCTGGTTCTCTTAGTAGTAGTTCTGGAATATGCTGAATATTTTCCAATAAAGTTTCAAATGTAGTCTTTGAAATACGAAAGAAGGTCTTGAACGTGTGTAAGGAATATCTTGAAACAACGTCTTGTACAAAGCGTTCTACTTTATATCGTTTTCTTTGCTCCTGTCTGAAAACAGTTAAGGCAATTAAATTACTTGCATATTGGTAGATTGTAGAATAGCGTGAAATAATTCTTTAAGGAAATTATGATTCCGATGACAGGTCTTATAATGTAGAATTATTTATAATTCAAATCAGATAAAGATAAGGTTCAGACTACTGATTCATAATATTACGCATGTTATTACATGTATTTTTCAAATTAGGACTTCATAAAAGCAATAGCAATCACCATAATTTGTGAATAAATAGCATGTTGTGTTAAAGAAAGCTCGATAAAAGTCCCTTACATATTATTGCAAGCTGCACATAGTGTAACAAATGAAAAATCCTCATTTGGTATGTCGAAATCTTCATCGGTCATAATAATCATTGCAGCGCTAACTAAAGTTCGTTTCGACGCCATATTGATTTCAGAAGAACACTGTTCGATTTAACAAGAGAAACCGGAAGTTAGAAGATGACATTTTCCTCTTTTGGAAGATGCAAATCGAACCGGCTTAAAACATGAAGGCTTGCGAAGAGAAGTGGATGTAGGCGAAAGACTGTACACTTCTCTTAAGAAAATGAAATTACATGTACAGTCCCTGAAACGTTCTAATTCCCACTTGAACGGCGAGCGAACGCTGAGAGAACGGTGAGCGAACGCAGAGTAAACGGTGAGTGAACGATGTGTGAACGCTGAACGCAACTTGATGAACGGTAGGTGAACGCTGAACGGTGAGCGAACGCAGAACGCGAACGGAGCGCGAACGCGAGCGCAAAGCGAACGGTGAACGAACGGTGAACGCACGATGAACGAATTATGCGGAATGCCTCTGATCTTTTCTATGCAGTGTATCTAATCAATATTGTATTCTAATGTCAGGCGCAAAATAGATAAATAAATAAATATTCAAAAATTGTCCTAAGAAAGATGAAACATGCACATTAAGTAAAACTATTAATTAAGTTTCTCACAATATTTTCTGCACATATGTATGATGTTTAAATTCAGCTGTTTAATCACACGATTTTGATCGCTGTAAAAACATTGTCATTGTTACTGAACTCTTGAGTTTAAAAGATAAAATCATCCTAGTTGTAAAATAAATATGTTTATTCTTATTTGACAGGCCCGTAGGAAGCAATTTCAGTTTGGGGGGCACAGCCATACGTTTTTCAGTTGACAGTTGAGGGGGCACTACCAAAAATTTCCTGACAAGCAAAGGACAAGATAGGCTAAGACCCCTTTTTGGTCCCTGGTTTTGGGTGTCTTTCAGAATGATGCAACAGTTTATCAATAGAAACCTGTTGTTACCCTTGCCACAAAATGAATATTGGTTCTAAGTTATGGGAAACACAGAGGTCACAGGAAGGTCAGAAAACATGTCAATTTCCGAATTTTCTCATTTTTATGCAAATTTTCATCGATTTTACAGCATATTTTGTTTCAGAAAACTTAGAGCACAAGCTTGCCTATCTACCAAATTTATATATTTTATACACTAGTATCAGATGCATCTTATATATAAAAATCTCTGATAGGCAAACTTGTGCTCTATGTTTCCCGAAGTAAAATGTATCTCAAATTTGACGAAATTCCACAGGAATTGAGGAAATTCGGGAAAATGTCCTAATTCTGCACCCCCTTATGGCCTCCCTGTAAGCTTTGAATCAAAATTAGTGCTGGTTTTAAAACAAGCATCATTTTAAGTTTTTAATTAGAAACTATCATAATTTTAACTGTTTTCTGATTTTACATAAAATAAGGGGCCAGATTCGGCCGTTACCATACCTTGTCCTTTAAAAAAAAAAGTCATTAGACGTTTTTATTGAGGGGGCACAAGCATATAGCATCTATGTTTACTATAGTAATCTATATATCGGCAAAATTATTGGTGGGGGGCCCCGGCCCCCGTGCCCCCCCTCCCCGGTTCCTACGGCCATGTTTGATATATAAAACCATTACAAATAATGATTTTCGAAGAGGACATTACTGACTTATAGAATGAATTACAACGGTTGTACATGTAACAACCATACATGTATTTCCGTGTCAAGGCAATTCCTTGTAAAATAATGAGAAAAAAATTTAAATATTTTTCTACGGTCTGTGGACGTATTGCATGTATACACTCGTATTTTAAAAATTTAATGCAATAATTTATTTATGTGTCTTTTCATTTTTTATGATGATTTATTAAACAGACTTCTACATGAATCTGTAGACAATTCCCCTTGATTATACTCGGACAAGATGATACAAAGAAGCATTCATATTATTTGTTATAGATATTTCAGAACTTAAAATATTTAAGTAATACGTGTCATAGTTTTGATTAAATGAGAGAGAGAGAGAGAGAGAGAGAGAGAGATTCCGTTTTAGACCCCCTTCTTTCGACAAATGCATGTACATGTACACTGTAGCCTGTAATGTTGGAGATGAAATGCTGGTCCAACGTTGGCCCAATATTGTGAAAAGCGCCATTCATCAATCTAAGTTTATTTATTGTAAATCGATGGTAACTTAATAAGCAACTCATTATAAACATTGATCTAGTATTATATTAAATAGAAAAAAATCATGAAACAAACTTTATAAGTCTGTGAATTGCATTTAGTAATTTTGTATCTTGGTAAATTCCATATTTAGCATCACTGAATTAAAGTGCTGTGTTTTAGAGCTCCAAATAAATAGGTCAGTGGTGAAATTCACTGGCTCGGCAGCTGACTCATCGGTATCCAAGGAAACGGGGGCACCGTGTAATTCATGGACTGGAGGCATGGAATGGAGTTATGGAGTGGACTTTGGAGTGGAGTTTGGAGTCAAATTTTGGAGTCTAAGATTTTTTTTAAAAACATGAATGGAAAAGATGTTCAAGAAATTGCATTAGTATGAAAGTCTTTAATTCTTTGTTGGCTGTTTCATGTCTTGTAACTAAACAGATTGACAATTCATAGGTACAATGACTTAATTAAAATTTGTAAGTTTCTGAAACTTAAGTAAGTATTTGTAATTTGAGAAAATTACATCAGTATTGAATAGACAGACATGATACTGACAAGATAACCCCTGTTTTTTAAAAATGTTTGGAAACTGTTGAACATAATTAATCAACAGATATAGTCGGTCTTACTGATTATTTTAATACGGTTAAATTTGACGTGTTAACAAACCTGTCAAGAGCTATTAGGTTCAGTGTTTAAAGCAATTTATATGAACGCTTTTTTTTCAATATATACACTCACCTATTCATTACCTTCCATGTTAAATTAAAAAAAAAAATTAGTTTTAAAATAAGTTTTACACTTTATACCACTATTACATGAATTAACTTAACAGCATGCATACATTAAAATTATTGCATTCTTTAGGAGTTTATATAAATATTATCATCCCTTAACTAACATCACAGTGCATTCCTTCCCATTAACTTCTAAATTGATAAAATTGTGAGTCACCAATGTATTTTATTCATATTACAGTATCATAATATTATTTAATTATTTAAGTAAATTTATGTGAATTATTGATAATCTTTTTTTAAGTCACATTTTAAGATACAAAATTGATGTTTGCAAATCTAAAGTAAATTATATAGAGAGAAAAATCATCGGTCTTATTCTACAAACAACCTTGTAACAATATATTCACCTACATTGTTCAGCTGTGTGGTCAAAAACATATAAAAGTGTTAGCAGACATAACAAAGATGTGACAGAAAGCTAAAATTTAGTTCAAAGGATTTTATCACCTTCCAATTATGTGTTGAAAGCTATGGTGATCATTATTTATGTAACAGTTAAATTTGATTAAAACATAGAATAAACTGTCACTGTTTTAGATAACACACTTTTTGACAATGAGAGTGAAATTAATACCCATGACCTTATCTGAAAGAACTTGCGGGAATTTGGTGCAGCCACTGTATGTACCACATTAAATCTGTCAAGAGGTATTTATACAAGAGAATGCAGGCAGTGTTAGGCGATTGTAATAGACCCATTTATTCACATCAGTATGCTATTCATTTAAGTACAATAATTATGGGTAATTCATTTTTGAAGAAAAAGATTAACTTCAAGAGTTGGACCAGAAGATTAATCTGTCTAAATAAAAATTAACATTAATATAATATCAATCCTGAGATTTAGGTAATAGATAATGTGATCTTCGACAGACTTGTTCTAACAATCAATATCTTAAATGAATATTTGTTAATATATCAACTCCTAGAACATAAGCTTTCAAATATGACTGATACAATGTCTTTCTTAAGTACGTATCGTATAGATTTGGTTGTGAAAAAAGCTCTGATGGATGTTACAAAGAAATTTGATTAATAATTATTATGAAAAGTGGTCAAAATTGATATTTATTAATAATTCAAATAAACATTAAAAACGCATACCACTAGTTTACTTCATAATATATTTTTTATACCCCGCCATGAATATGGCCGGGCCATATAATGTTTGTCATGTCTGTCTTCCGTCCTTCTGTCCTTCTGTCGAGCTTTGCATTAAGGCTCAGTTCAAATCTCAGTTTCAAAGAAACTATTCAAGATATTTTTTTGTAAAACTTCACATGTTGATAGGTATTGGTGAGAGCTTTTCAATTGCGTAAACATTTTTTGACCTTGACCTTTCCTTTGACCTTGACCTCACTTTTCTTAAATTAGTCTTTAGCTCAGTTTTAAAGAAACCATTCAAGATAGTGTAATCAAACTTCATATGCTGATACATACTGATGTTACCTTTTCAACTGCATCAACATTTTTTGACCTTAACCTTTCTTTTGATCTTGACCTCACTTTTCTTATAAATAGTGTTTAGCTCAGTTTTAAATAAAGAATTCAAGATATTTTCATCAAACTTCATATATTAATACATGCTGATGAAAGCTATCAACTGCATCAACATTTTTTGACCATGACCTTTTCTTTGACCTTTGACCTCACTTTTCTTAAATCAGTGTTTAGCTCGGTTTTAAATAAACCATTCAAGATATGTTTATCAAACTTAATATGCTGATACTTATTGGTGAGAACTGCATCAAATCTTTTAACCTTGCACTTTCCTATGACCTTGACCTCACTTTTCTTTAATTTGCATTTTGCTTAGTTTTAAAGAAACCGTTTAAGATATTTTTATGTAAGCTTATGCACTTAATACACTTATACACAATCTGGTGAGAATTTATCATTTTTATCCAATTTTTTAGATTTCAATTTCAATTTTAAAGAAACTTTTTCAAGATATTCACTTCAAACTTCATATACTAATACAAATTTTCATGTTGCATTACTAATATACACTGGACGGGATATTCATGTCCTATGGACATATTTCTAGTTTTAAGTTACAGAAATATAAACTAAAATGTTCATCTACACTTTTCCAAGGAACACATGCATCACTTCCAATAGCAGCACGGGGATATAATAAAACTGCAGAGTTGTCACCTGAAGAATTTTGTATCTTTATTCTATA